TGCTGCTTTCACCCACTCTGCAAGTGTAACAATGTCAACCGTTATCAAATTGCCACTCTTCATCAAAGCTAAATCAGACGATGTCATCCATTCAAATTACCTAGCCCGAAGCCTATCTGTAAAGGACCTCTAGAGACAGACATCCAGTGACTGCAAGATTGAAGTAAGTCCACCGGGAAATAGAGCCACAGACGACTTCACCTCACGGCATCGTTTCTCCACGTTTTTAGTTGGATGTGCCCTAAAGAAATCCCAAACCAACATAGACGGTTGCTTTAAAAGGGCGTCGCTTCGCTTCCCCTAAACTGTATTAAGCCAGTCTAAAGTGCCACTCACATCCATCCATCCTTTCGGATGAGTCCACACAAACGAGCCGCTTAGGGGAACTTCGCACCTTTAGGCAGCGTCTTGCGCTTAGAAATAAAGGTGGCAAACGGGAACTATGTACCATACATCCCAAAACAAATGGGAACCATCTTTTCGTGTCTAATCATTACAAAAACTGTGTTAGCGTCTTTCCGCTCCACCGTGCAACTTGAAAATATATTAGAGCCCACGGGCGCAGTCCATATTTCCAATTTGACAGTTCGAAATCATATTGCTCTCTTAGTTGGAGCACGAACCTTGGAAAACATGTAACCTTAAGGTCCAATCTTTCGATAGTTTCTGAGCTGGTTTAGTGCGGGTCCGTAGACACATGTCGAATCGGTTCATAAAACGGTGGTAACATCCCGAGGAAGCAACAAAATTCACCCGTTTTGATGGGTGGAATTCCGGAATTTGTAACTGTGAGCGCCTTGATCCGAAGGTTCCTTAGAATAACAATTAACGCACTGTGCTGTGACTTCTTAATACTGATGAACTCAACTCATGTCGCAATCTGTCGAAGCGGAGCAAAAATAGCAACCTGAGAGGCCATCAGCTCGACTTGGCTACGCACTACAGCCGACTTGATTGCCGACAAAACGTTTTCTCCCTTCGTGTGTCCTGTGCTTAGTATGCCCTTCCGACGCACGTTATCCTTGCCCTTACATTAACGACATTCAAAAAACCACTTGATGAAACGCTTTCCAACTTGCATTACTTGATATAGTCCGTCCCACTTGGAGGACGAAATAACGCAAACCTAACCATGTGCTCAACGGCCCTCTCCGCAACGTGACGGGAAGGATACATGCAGAAGTGTCCATGTGATTAGAATGGATGTAGCTAAACTGGATTAACATACCACATCTGTCAAATGAAGAAACAAACGAGCGTTGTCGTTTACTTTTTTATTTCTCACGCACTTACTGAACTATAACAGCTCACTATACTATTTTATGTGTGCACATCCCATTCCCAGTTCAAAATATCGTTATGCAGTAGTGCATTTAAATCGGTAGACATTAAATTAACGATGTATTTATTCGACGATCCTTTAAACTTTAATTTTTCCTTCAGCTATCCAACGGGACTTGTCGAGAAAATGCCTTTTTTACCCGTGATAAATCCTTGTTCATTGTTTGTTCATAACCTAGTACGCCAAGGTTTTCTCCAGTGCAGGAAACATGGTTTTTCTACCGCGTGTTGCTTTCTTGCCTACAGGCATTAGTGACTATTATAACTTTCCCTTACGCCATTCACTCACCTAGTATTTATTCACGGTGAAATGGCGTGAAGCCATACAATTATTAGATCGCTCGGCAAATGCGATAAGTTTGAAGTTAAACCCAGCAATCTATGCATATCGGTCCTGTTGGGACATTCTTTCACGTCTCCAGGGGTTTGGAAGAACGCACGAAATGTGGGCACATTCCCTCTCAGTTGGATGATGTGACAATGCGTTAACGCTACTCTGGGTAGCGAATCAAAGCGCTTATACACTATGCTACGCTAGACGATCAGGTGCATTAAAAGTACGTCGTTCCACACCACTGACCGTAAACTTCACTCTCACCCACTGCTCTACTGTGATTCATATGCATGAGGCCTCCGACTGTGCGACATACCCTTTCACCTTAGCCAAATTGTCGGCTGTCAATGCGGTGAAAATCGACGTTCTGACAGCAATACGCCACAGTAACCGTGATCATAACATATCACGGTCAACACAACTGATCATCAGTAGAGAAGGTTTCGCTTGAACGCACGCAATTGAGAGCAGGAAGTGATGAAGTCAAAATCATGGGGAAATAATTTCATTTCTCTTTTTGCTGACTTTGTGAGGGTAGGCCGATATAGGGACTTAGACTTTAGACAAATTTGATGTTGTAAAGTTATACCGTCGGCTTATCTATGGACGGACTTATATTCGGTAACGTACGATACTCGTATTCTTTAAGACACGTCTGACTTCACTGCTGCAGATCCGTTGTTGCCACCACACACGAGCAACCCTCCACAAGAACCCAATGTCAAAAGCCGAGAGACGGTGCACATCATCCACGTAAATTGGAAATGACTCGCTTCCATATAGCAACACCGCCCGAACGGAGGCCTTGAAATCACTACCATTTATCAAGATGGAGACATGCTGATGATGCCACAAGTGCTGCAGATTGACAAATGCAGACCAAGCTTTGGCGATGCGAAGATAAACTGCCTTTCCAATGGTAACAGCGAGACACACAGCTGTCCAGGTACACAAAGCTGTCCACTTTGCAAGCTGTGTACCTACAATAGTGAGTATGGGAACGGGTGGACCAATCCTGAAGAAGCACATTAAACTTTGACGGGGAAAAGCACATACCGCACCCTGATGCCTCAATCGCCAAACGGTCTAAAATGGTCTGCATACTCTGTACGAATGAGTAGAACGAAGCAGGCATCAATTTTGAACGTCTGTAATGAATTATGAGGAAGGCATTAAAGAGCGCCTCTCTATCCAGCGTGAGATGTCCGACTAATGGATAGGATTTCAATGGGGCGATAAGCTTGACCAGACCGCTGAAGACAACTCTATCAGGTAATGAGGTACGTGGTGGTCGCAGCACAGAGCTTGGAACCCCAGGAGTGGTGAAAGGTTATCAAGGTGTGATCAAGGACACCAAACTTTCACAGTAAGATCTTCACTGCTCATTACACAACATTTTAAACACTGCCCCCCCCCCAAAGTAATTCACATCTACGGACAACACACCGTTTCCAACGGCGCTTCCATTTTAGGAAGCTTGAGACGCACTTCCTCGGATAGCATGCGTATCTCTCGTTGCACTGTCCTGAATCTCCTCTATGGTCTGGAAACAACGTCCATTCAAGGTGGTTTTTAGTTTGGGAAACAGGTGCGGAGAATATGGTGGATGGGGCACAATGATAGTATGGATTTTGCTAGATAACTGCGGACAAGGAGCGCCGTGTGAGCCCGTGCACGGTCATGATGTAACATCCAAGTCTGGTTTCCCCTCAGTTCCTTCGTTAGGCAATAAAGGAGGCATGAATTTTTCACTAACATGACGCACCAAAATGTTATCACCTGAAAGTTTTGATCAAACACTGATGCTCACTTCGTCAGCAAATTCTCCAACAGTTGAACGACGATTTCCATTGATCCCAGCATGAACTCTCTTAACGATGTCATCGTCTGTTGAGCTGGAAGGTCGCCCAAGCTTGCGATCATCACTGACCGGCATTCTACCGTGTTCGCAACGTTTAAACATAACACTGAGTGCGGCTCATAGAGTCTTCTCTGTATGCTAAGCTAAACAAATGTAAGGTCGCCGTGAAAGTTTTGCCGAGCTTGTAGCAAGGTTTCACACCACAGACATGTTGCTGTTCAAGCTTTATCACTGTCACTTCGAACTGGGCAGCGTTTGGTGTTTCCTGACTGTCGGGCTGAGGTCCCAAGGATGACGATGAACACGTTTATAGTTGGACACATGCTGACATGGCATAGAGCCGACCGCAATAGCGCTCGTGCTGTGAGTTCCTTTGTCCCTCTTGATTAGTTTCCCACTCCATGGATAATATGATATGCATAGAATTACAGTGCTAACTTTTTAACTGTTGAATCCCGTAATGTTTAGTATCTCGTTTTTTCATACATCTTATCTTTTTGTATTGCGGCACAAAAACTGAAGTGTACTTTAGGTAACGTGTAGTGATGAGGAGACCACTTTAACACCAATCCAACGTGCAGCTAAGCAGTTGATCAATTTAGTGACTGTAGCTCGCCAGCTAACGGACAAAGCGAAACGCAGTTAATGGCAGTTTGTTGTCTCTGTGGCCACAGAACACTTCTTCTGTTGATTGGCGCTACTTCCAAAGTCCACTTGCATTAGAACACAAATGCGATGTAAGTACAAGTCGTCCAAACCATAGGTAAGAGAAAATTTTCAGTAAGTGAAGGAATATTTGAAAAAGATAGACGGCCGACCAGTTCTGGAGGCCACTAACTCGTAAATTGGGCCGCTTATTGTTCGGACTATCATGTAGGCTCACCGGTTATGGCATCATCATTTTTCGAATCTCATTAACTAGCCTAGAATGCCGCGTTTCGCCTTTTACCTTCGAGAAGATTCAACATGAATCGAGACTTGTGTGGTAGAACGAAGCAGCTGGACTCGACGGTTTGGTGTAAGCAACACACTAAAGTGACCAGCAATCGTTCCCACATGCGAGTGGCAAGGGACTCAAGTACCCGTTCGTTTGGCAAACGTGTCGTGTTACCAACCGGAGGTCATCGAACAGCCATTGACTGATCATACATACAGAAAGTATGCGAACGTATCGATGATAAATTGCCTCATCCCTCGGATATGATGCAAAACCAGCTCGAGACCCAGAAACCGATCACACATGCAAGGATGTGAGACACCATATTTTGCCGAAAAAGTAGCACGCTTAGTTGCGGTGCAAATCAGTACTCGATGGAAGCTCAGTTTGATTTTTTGTGCCTTCGGAGAGCTACGCGACAGATGGTGACGACTCGGTCGTGGCTGTTTCCATCGCTTTATGCAGTGACATGTTGCGCTGTAGACGAGTTTTCAAATCGTTATAATCGTGTCAGAAAAATACCGGGACCTCAGAACAAATATCACCATTACTTGGAAACTGTTCAGAAATAGTTCGCTGATCTCCAGATGAGTGGAAGCAGTGATAATGAGGCATGCATTTACATTGAGAAACAGATGTTGACGTAAGGGATACGAATCATTATGTGGCAGGTACTAAGGTCGTAAAGATTATCCCCATGAGTCATGTAAAACTTGCCGGAATAGCTAAGCGGAAAGGGGACAGTGGGAGCTGCGTCCAAGCAGGGGACAGTAACATAGAGTGGTGTGAACAGAGTATATGAAAGCTCATTAAAAGAGAGAAGGATATAACACAGGCGATCATGATCAAAAGAAGATATATTAAACGCACTAGGATAAAAATACGGTGATTGAACAAACGCACTAAAGTACGATCAAGCAATTAGGTGGAAAGAAAAAAAGCGAAGTGAAACGCGGCGTATGATTCGATGGCGAATGGAGTAGCATCAGGTGACAACAAGTAATCAACAGGTTAAATGATGCAAAACAAAGCACAGACGTCTGAGAAGAACTGATTTACACTACTGGAGCAAAGTGACGCGCCAAAACAGCAAGCAACGTACAAATGCTAGGTGGCAGAGACTAGCGTCCGGCTGTGGAGACAGCGTGCATGAATAGTTTACAATGAGTGAAGTGGGCGCGGCTTGAGTCCGAAACCATGGTTGATACGTTCGGTGTGTGGTCGGTCTGCTGCAGACGCAGTGGCCCAATGACCGGAGTATATAGTGAATCAATTGGACCCCGAGTAGTGCTAATCAAAATTGATCTAACTGGACAACGGAGTGCTGCGCCTTGGAGCTCAAAACAGACAGAATTCTCAGTGGATCGGCGGGCAAACCACTGACGGGTGGGATACGTACCGACAAGGAAGTAGATGGTGGTGTTCTGTGTGCGCAAGCAGATCAACGATGCAACTCGGATGGGACACAGCGCATTCCGTAGCCGCCATTACCACCACCACCACCACCACCAGCGCTGCTGGCGTTCGGGTGATTATGGCCAGTGGTAGGGTGGCCGACAGTATTGCCGGAAGGATTGACGAATTGTGAGTGAAGCGCTGAATTTTGTACACCATTACTAGTTACGTGAGCGTGTTGGATCATCGGCTGTTGCGGCTGCTGTCGCTGACCGACTTGGTTGTGTGTCCCCCCACGACGGTCGTTGGGCATTAGCAGACGCATCAGTTCCAAATCATTTGTCGCGTCCATGTTGCGATCACCGCCCTCGTGATTGTGTTTGTTGTTGTCGCCGTTGTCAATACAATTACCCTTCGCGCCGGAAGCAATAGCAGTGGAGGGATTCGGGTTGGAGATATTTGTTCGCAGTAAAGCCCAATCGAACACGTAATCCAGAGCGTAGTTCAAACTCTGGAATAGTCTTCGGAACATTCCCCGAAGGAAGGGATAATCTGGTGCACTGTCAAATTTCAAAGCACGTGCGTAGTGCAGATACTTCTCAAACTCCACTGCATAGCCCTTACATAACTGTTCCGGAGAAGTGGTCAGCTTCTTTTCGTAGATTCTTTCATATTTTTGTTTCTTTGTGTGAGCCTAGGGAAAAAGTGAAATAGAAAAATATTAGACTAGCCTGAACGGTGTGTAGGTTTATGGCGTAGATGTGAAACCAGTAGACGCATCAATCGTGTTCACAAAGGCGTATTGCAATGAATAAGAGACTACTTTGTTCTCGTCGGCCTTTAGCCTAGAGGTGACGAGCTTGTCACGTAATCTTGCGGCGCTGGTTCGAATCCCCGTAGTGGTGGGCGTCCTCGCGGTATACTCAGCCGGCGTGTGACTGGTGGTGGTCGCACGGCAGCGAAGCGCCGTACAGCTGATCCTACTTTGTTCTCACCATAGTATGCGCTCAAACAAATAAACTGGTATTATTGGGTTTTGAAACACTGTGTTTGGATTGTGATATGTCACAATTCTCGAAGATGGTCACTAATGAGCATCGGAAAGCTGTAAAGGAATTAACATCGAATCCTGACATTGTGCTAAATCGGCCGGATAAAGGGTCGGGTTGAGTACTGATTGACAGGTCCGACTACATGGAGATGCATGCCATTTTGCATGATACGACTAAATTCAGACTTGATCCAATACAAAAGGACAGCACGATACAAGATGAAACCAAACTCATCAAATCACTAAAAGAGCTGAAACGCTGTAAATATATTGATGGCTGTACGCTCGAGAGGCTAACCCGTGTGGATCGCATCCACCTCGCCTGTACGGATTGCCGAAAGTGCATAAGCCCAAGGTGCCACTGCGTCCGATCATCGGTATGTCTGGCTCCTCCGTGCACTCAGTTGCTACATGGCTTGTAGGATTGTTTGAGCTGCTACACAAGAAATTATCAGCCCATAATGAGAGTGATTCAATTGAATTTATTAAAGAAAGACAAAATTGAAAGACAAAATGATGCTTTCCTTTGACGTAAAATCACTTTTCACAAATGTTCTTTTGCTTGAAACTGTGAACTTTATTTGTGATTACATAGCTGGTAACGTTGCCACTGTAATCCCTGTGCAAAAGATCAAAGAACTAATCTTATGCTGTACCTTTAACAAGCAGCTATTATTCGTAGGAAAGTACTATAGACAAATAGATGGAGTTGCAATGGGGCCGTCGTTAAAGCCGCTACTTGCCGATTTCTTCCTGCTAAAAGTTGAGCGTGGCCCTATCCGGCACCATATCAATTCCCTTCATCTCTGTCGGCGGTATATGGATGATACGTTCATCGTGTAAGATTCCCACGTCGATCGCGCTGTTGCTGGACCAGTTTAACCAAGCACATCCATCAGTAAAATCCACTTCCGAGCCAAAGAATGATGGTTTTTTGGATGTTTTGTTGCAATGTCGAACCGATGGCTCGCTCGAGAGAATCTTCCGTAAAACAACCTGGGTTGGTCAGTACATGCAATTGCTTACTGCGTTGTCTGTACTATCGGGCCGCAAGAATTTTCAGTCCAGAAACGCTAGAAGCGGAAAGTTTATTCAAGACTCTGCAGAGCAACGGGTATCCCGCGACGTTTACCAAAAAATATTCCGCTGTTTCAGATCAAATTAATGCGATACCGACTACAAGAAAGCTGTTTACCTCTCAGTTCCTTTCAAAGGAGATACCGGTTTCAACTTACTGAATAGGAGATTATCATCGGCGGTGAGCAAAACAGATCCAGTCGCTAAAGTTTATATATTTGCTGAAACTGTCCCGCTCATGACCCAATGCCTTAAAAATAGAATCTCGGCTCGTTCCGAATCTTTGTTCTATATCAATTCACCCGCAACTGTGGTGTAAGGTACCTCGGGCACACGACCAGGCGTCTATTTAGGCGAATAGCGGAGCATTGCCCTGTGTCTTTGCAACATGTTATGGTTAAGAATGTCCGCAGCTTGATCCTCGAACATCTGCTTAGTATCGGTCATCAGATTCGGATTAATGACGCATTCAAGGTAGTCTACACGGTATCGAGGCGCAACCCCAAAGGAATCAGAAAGCGCTGAAGCCACTGAAATCAGAATACTTCAGCCGGATTTGTGCAATCAGAGAACACTGATAAAATCTATACTGTTGTCGTGGCCGTAATATCGGACAGCGGTTACAACTGTGAGTGAGCACTGTATACCTACCGGCCGATGCGCCTGTGCTTTGTGCGTGTATTCGTCTTTGCGCGTGCTCGCGCGACTCATGACATCTGACTGTATCGACTGGACTAATGATTGAGTTCGTTGAGTCAACCGATCACATCCCCAGCGTTCGCTTAGATGTCACGTTTATCTGTCTTGTAATTGTATTTGTCTGAAGTGAATTGCAGAAAAGAGTTATCTACGTAAGTGCTGTGCTTTAATTTAGAGAGTCATTTAGAGTGAATGGAGTAAATCCCGGCCATTACTGGGGCTAGCATGTCCAGCGTTGCCCGAAAAACTAGATGATCTAGTGATCATCAAGGTGACAGCCCATATTCCGCAAGGCCAAACAAGGACGAAAGCGATCGTGTAATGTGATGTTCGGAAAGATAAACTCAGACAGCCAACGTTTCGATAAGAACAGGGGTATCTCTTGCGTGATATTTTCCTACAGGCTACTTTGTATGGCAGAAAATCATCATCATCATCATCAATACACGTTAACTGAAGGTGAGAAACACCTCATATGATGTGCTGCAATACAAAAAATAAGATACTAAAACACCACAAAAATAGCAAAAATTAAGCAATACAATGTCAAATATCACATTATTCGTTTGCTATGAGATGGAGACTGGAAGGAGGATCTAAAGGAGAGGGGGGTGAACGAAGAAACTCAGCACAAACGCCATTGGGGCCGGCGCTTTGCCATAACAAAGAACCAAGCAAACGCGTACACCTTCCATGGAACCCCAGCTCGGTAGTCGAGATGCACCAACAGACGCCAACTTCGAGGTGAGGGCTTTCATTCCTCTTGACCAAGTTATCACTTGGCCTACCCTCCTTCGTCGCCCGGTTACCGAGTGGTCTGCGCGCCTCGTTTGCAACCATAAGGTCCCGGTAAGAATGCGCGTAGGGGTGGGCGTTCTCGCGGTACACACAGCCCGTGTGCGACCGGTGATGGTCGCGAGGCAGATAAGCGTCCTTACGGCGTACAGCTGACACGTTATCATTAATACACCATATATATATATATATATATATATATATATATATATATATGTATATATATATATATGTACGCTGAGGCTGATGTTGTATTCTTGATGCTTGTTCACCGCAGCTGGGCTAAACCAACTTACACTTAAACTAGGTCTTTTTAAGCTGGCTAAATTTCATTCCACTTTAGTTGGTTTGTTCTGCCTACCTGAATACTCTTCTATTAAACGTTGCTTACATTAATTGCACTTATCTTCGGTAAATTTGTTACGTTTTGTAGCATTTCTAACTTGTGGACATTTTTTTCCTTATCGCGGATTCGTTGCTAACCAACTTACTTCATATGCTTATTTAGCTTAGAGTTATGCCACCGTATCTGTATGCATTATTGGATTTGTTTTATTTCATCTTGTCGTTCCAGGTGATTGGCTGTTGCTTGATATCCCCGGTGTGGCTGCACTTGATGTGCATGTTGACAAGGTGCCTACCTGTCTATTACCCACTACCTCGTCCATACTGGCTCCAGGAGACAGTTGATTGTTGCTGGAGTGGACGGGGTGCACGGTCCTTGTGGCCGTGCTAGGCTCGAAGAGTGTTTCCATGCACCAAGTGTGGAGCGGAATACGATCCAGCCACCGCCTTGTGTGCGCTTGATTCCCAAATACAGCGTGTTTGTGTTTGCCTGTGAAACAGTGTGCGCCGGCTCCGCTGATGAAACAGGGCTCCCAACCACATGCCTCCCGGTCTTATTCCCTCGGGTTTACACTGGATATGGGGTGTGTGGTTAGAGCTGTGGGTGGTGCAGCGCAAGCCACCTATTATCCCTCGGGGATATCAAGCAACAGCCAATCACTTGAGAGAAAGCTAACAAAGAAAAGAAATCGAGTAATGCATACGGAAGCGTGACAAAAATCTTAAATTAATGAGCATATGAAATAAGTTGTTAACAAACGATCCGAGATAAGTTCAGAGGGTCAGAAAGTATATTTTACGAAAATGACACAAACGCGAAAATGTTATCGAAATTTACTACAATTGGCTTAAGCGAGTTGTGCAGGTTTAAAGAAGAGCGTGCAGGTGGACATTTATTTGAGAAAGAAAAGCATTAGGACAAAAATTAAAACCCACCACCTGAAGTAAAGAGACTCAACATGCGAGCATGCGGTTCGTAAATCGAATGCAACGTACCTAAAAACGCTGCGTCGGTTCTGCCTACGATATCTGCGGGACGCGTCGTCGTTTCGGTGTTGGCCCCGAGTGGCCTCGCTCATGGCTCACTAGGCCTGTCTGATTCAGGCACTCGCGAGCGCACGTGCTACAGCACCATGTGCTCGATGTCGATTGAATACAATCCATCTGCGCCTGTTGCTTTCGCAATTGCCGCTTCTTCTCTGCGTGCACGAGGGATTTCTTTTGCACGTCCGCAACGGCATTCGTGAGCAGATCGCGCCATGCACGCCGATCAACCACCCTCAATCCCCATGACCTGCGATCAAGATTGGAACGTGACAGGCTCAGTTTGATCTTGTCTTAGTAATGAAGCTTCGGTTTCCCCACATGCTGCTTCCAAACACTTAGCTGACCATATAATAGCTGCTTCGGCATCCGGGTAGAATTCATACGCCACCCATGACCGAGCCAGCTCAGGTGTCTCAACTAAAGTATGCACTCCACTGAATACATTCCACTTCAGCGTAAAACTTCCCTGCCTGCAACTCTGTCGAATCAGCCGATGAGCATAATCCGTCGCAAACACGGCCTATGGGACGGCTAGATATATCCCACATATTGCCGGTACATCGTCCACAATGCACTGCCGTATAGAAGAACGGACAGCACCATGGATTTGTACACCATCAGCTTCGTGCCAATGCTAAGCTGATGGTTGTTCCACACTCGGTACTCAAGCTTCCCGAATG